TAGAACTCAAGACTACAAGACCTAAGAATCATTGTAACAACAGTGCCACTGTCTCTCCTCCACTGGAGTAACCCCAAAATGCTCATTCCTATCAAAAGGAAAGAAGAAAACCCTTCCAAAGCAGGCTCTTTGTACCCTGCACCAAATGGAGAGGGAAAGGAGACATTACTCTGGTCAACATGACCTGTTATGTCAAGTCAACATATCTCTTTAAGTAGCTGATAGGCTCAGGAGCTGACAAGAGAGGATAATTTTTCTTCCAAAGGGAAACACACAAACAAGCTGTGTATAGCTTCATCAGGATAAAAAAAAAACAAGAAAGTTTGCCTATCCCCCACCACCCAGTCATAGTTTTCTTCTCAAGCTCAGCAAACGTAAGATGTGTGGTCTTCAACTCCCAGAATTTCCCAACCAGGGCACATCTCAGAGTTGAGACTCATTGATTTACACTACTGTATACCTGAACTTTTTGGGGCACAGTGGCTCAGTGGCTAAGATGCTGAACTTGTTGATCAGAAGGTCAGCAGTTCCATGATTTGAATCCCTAGTGCCGCGTAACGGGGTGAGCTCCCATTATTTGCCCCAACTTCTGCCAACCTAGCAGTTCGAAAGCACATAAAAATGCAAGTAGAAAAATAGGGACCACTTTGGTGGGAAGGTAACAGTGTTCCGTGAGCCTTCGGCATTTGGTCATTCCAGCCACATGACCATGGAGATGTCTTTGGACAGCGCTGGCTCTTCGGCTTAGAAATGGAGATGAGCACCACCCCTAGAGCCAGAAATGACTAGCATGCATGTGCAGGGGAACCTTTACCTTTATCTTTTATATCTGAACTTGAAATAATTTGGATTTACCTATAGGACATGTGAAAATGCTCTAAGTGTTAGATCTTTGTATCTCTTTAGTGAAGAATGGATCTTTCTGGTCACAAAAGGAAACGAAATCTAGTCCAACCTCTTTCAGAAAAACAACAGGGAGCCCATTCCTGTGAATATTTCTTACCTCCACCCAAATTATGTATGTGCACCTATATGCACATGTGGATGCATATATCTGCATACATGAGTGCCCGGATGCAAAGAAAACATTTTTATTTTTTGGGTTGACTCTGACAATTTAAAAGTTCTCCATTACTTGGTTGTTAGTAGGTATATTTTGAGAGGGGGCTTTATGACAGTTGACTCCAGGTGGGTATTTATTTTGAATAAACATTTGTGCTTTGCGTTTTGCTGAAAGATTTATCATATGTCTTCATAAACTTTATGAATTTTATCTAAATTACCTGGACTAAAAATAGAGCTTTTCCCAGCAGATTCTGCTGGCCCATGGGAATTGTTGTTTATATTGGTTTTAATTGTTTTTGCTTTTGCTGTGAGCTACCCAGAGTTATACTTCATATGGCAAATTACTTTCATGGATGTACCAATAATATCACATTCGTATTTCTGTTTCAGTCATTGAAGTAATGCTTAATGTATGGCTGTATGGTGGAAGCCAGGTCATGTTCCAGGGGAAGCTGTTCCAAAAAATTCTGTTGATTAAATAATGTTCAGGGTGCATCATACATCAGCAAACACAAGCTCCTCTATTGTTTTATCGTATATTGCTTTCTTGACAAGTAACATGATTGGTTGGGATTCTGGGCAAAATTCTGGGCACTTTTGAGAGGATGAAAAGAAAACAAAGAAAACAAAATAAACAAACCAATAAGTAATTACTGGATTCTGGTTTTCCTGAAAAAATTGGTCTGGAATAGTAAAAATTAGATGGTAAGGCAGCTTGGAAATCTGCGTAAACTATCCAGAATCCCATTATAGGAAAGAAAAAGCAGTGGGGTATATTTCCTTCCTCCTTCCTTCCTTCCTTTCTTCCTTCCTTCCTTCCTTCGCTCTCTCTCTCCCTCCCTCTCTCTCTCTCTCTCTCTCTTTCTTTCTTTCTTTCCTTCCTTCCTTCCTTCCTTCTTTCCTTTCCTTTCCTTTTCTTTCCTTCCATCTTTCTTTCTTTTTTTCTTTCTTTCTTTCTCTCTCTCTCTCTCTTTCCTAACTGATCAAGTTGGGGCGATTGATAATATCCTATTAAAATAAAGCCATACCATGTTTTGCTGATTGTTGGGATATAAACTTATGAAACATTATCCTTCTTATGCAATAACATCTGAATCAACAATTGAAGTAAAATGTACAAGTGATAGACTAGTAAGAGATTGAGAAATAATGATTCCATCTGTCCATTCTTCCCAAAAAGGCCACAGGGGCATTAGAAATTAATTTTCCTTTGGGAACAATCTAGGTAATGAGAAAGTTGACTGAGTAAATCTTTTAAAGTTCATTTGTTTTTTTAAGAAAAGGGTGTCACATTATCTGGACCATCTGGAGGGCATTTTTGGAAGCATAAAGTCCAGACTGCTAGTAGCATCCAAACCAATAATGACAGGTTAAGTATGACTCTATCCAATCACATATGGAGACTCCATATTCACCAAGTTTAGTGACAGGATCACCCCAGCATCTCCCAGATGATATAGACTAAGGCTTATTTTGCTTATGTTATCATCCAAACTGAGTTGCAGATACTTAGCATATACTTAGCAATAGAGAAAAGGTCCCAAATTGCCATTAGAATATATCCGATGGTATGATGTAAATATTATAAATTAATGCTCATTTGAATTAGATCGCTGAAAATTATGAGCACTGAATAGTACTCCTCTCTGTTTTGGTTTTAGCGACTGAAGGGAGGATTGTTGATGTCCAAAAATGTTCATGAGGTTACTATGTTCTTTTTAATAACCTGGCTTTTGTAACAAAATTTGGAATCTAGTATTGTAAAATGCCTTTGTGCATTGCAACAGGACTTTAAATCTGCAGCCATTTTTTAAAACAGCCATTTACTTTAAAAACAGGCTCTAACTATATACTACTAAAAGTTTCATTTCTGTAACCTCTGACTGTGCACATCATAGTGCAACATTTTGTCTAAAAAGGTATCTCAAATGGGCTAATGTACAGAATCCTGGGATCGTTACTCCCAAAGGAAATTTGGCGAAGTTGTGGCTTCTTCATCACTACCAAGCTGCTGCTGCTGCTTCTATGCCACCTCATTTTCAATGTTTGTGATAGTTTCCAAGAGACTCCTGCAATCCATCCCTCCCTCCCTCCCCCACCCAGTAACAGCCACTCACCTGCTTGCTGGGAAGGGAAGGGAAGGGAAGGGAAGGGAAGGGAAGGGAAGGGAAGGGAAGGGAAGGGAAGGGAGAGAGGAGGGGAAGGGAGGAAAGAAGGAAGGAAGGGAGGAAGGAAGGGAGGAAGGAAGGAAAGTATAGGGAGAAAGGGAGGGAGGAACAGGAGGGAATGAATCCCTATGCATCCTTTTGTGAACCATGCAACACTTCTTGCATACCCTATGCACTCTTCCTGACCACATCACCACCTACCCCATCCCTGAGCCACATGGCACCTCCTGCATGCTCCCAAGCACCCACGAGTGAAAATGTTGACCCAATAAGATAAGGGTTGTCTAGCAAAATAATATATCACATCATTCCAAACCAGGAGGAAAGGAAACTAATATTGATGGTATCAGATATCATCCCACCACACCACTACCCAAATTTGAATTAGTGTCATCATTCCCTGATCTTTCACATCTGGGAGATTCAGAAGGAAGCTATAATGATCTCCTTTGGGAATCCTAGTCCCCAAACAGTTTGAAGTGAAAATATAGGATTTGTTTCATCCAAGAATGTCATGAGGTCATGCATTATACCAGGATTGTTAAGTCCACTATTTGCAGAACTAGGACCAATACGAGAAGGACAGAAAGAAAAGTTGACTGATCACACTTTCAGGAGAAAATTAGCTCCTTGAGAGCTAAAATGATTTAAATTGGGTGTTTTAAATTTTTGGGGTTTTAAATCTGAGCTGAAATTATTTAATAATTTTAATTATTTTTAACTGATGTCTGTCTTTGTGCTTTTAATAGGCTGTACACCGCCCTGAGTCCTTCGGGAGAAGGGCGGTATAGAAATAAATTTGTTTGTTTGTTTGTTTGTTTGTTTGTTTATTTATTGATTTAAAATGGCCAAGAAATCTGTCTAGGAGGAAGGAAGAACTGTGGATTGGACAAATTGAAAGCTGGCTTCTCCAGGCTATCATTTTGTTTCTGTCTGCAGAATGCCCTTTTGGAGAGCTTCCTATCTGCCCAGTACAGGTGGAGCATCTGCTCAGGTAGAATTTTCCATATTTGTTATCTTCTTCTCTGGGGGCAAAATAATATCAACATCAATATGGCCCTTCTAGCCATCAAAATTAGTATAGAAAGAGAAATATTGTACACAAAACACTTCATTCTTTATTCATTTAAAACAATCTTTTTATGCATTCTCCAAAGTATTAAAGATAGCTTTCATATTTTCAATCACAATCCAAACCCCACACTTTCCCATAGGATGCTTGTGAGAATTTTTTTTACATTTGCAGTACAGTTCTTGGCTTGGTTAAAACTCCCTCAAAGACATTTGTTTATTCTGTCTGACAGATCCCCAGAAATCATTTATTATATTGTTGCTAATGCTGCTGTTATTCCCAACAGCAAAATATCTAACACACAACGGCAGGCTGACTTGATGCGGTATTGTTCTTGCATTCCTTTAGAGAAACAAAAGAGTAGAGTAGGTATGAGCAAGTTTATGATTTCACACTTCCACCCTCAATTTCTTGCATGCACAACTTGGAGTAACGCATATTATTTTGAAAGAGAGAGAGAGAGAGAGAGAACTGAAGTGTCTTTCTGTTCTCCCTCTTTCTGCCCCACCTCCTTGCTCATTTGCTACATGAATGTCTTCTAAATGTTTTCACAGCTGCTTGGGAGGTGTTGAGTCTTCATGTCAACTCATTCACTCAGCTTAACATAATCATTCTCTTTAATGGAACAGTTACCCTGAATATGATGTCTATCATTTTTGCTGTTGGGGGTCCAAAGGCAGGAAGAGGGTGAAGTGACAGAGGCATAATTACCAGGCCCGCCACAATTTCCCCCCCACTTTTCTCCCCTTCTGTGGATGATGCAGTGTTGTACAATGTCAACAATCAAACACGGAAATGAAGGCAGTGCAAAGACCCAGGTGAGTAATTACTACAAGGTTGCAGCCCCACAACGACTTCCAAAGTGCCAGGCCTGACAAGGTGCAGATTGTTTTTATCCTCTGGTGTGAAGCATGCTGATTTGCTGTTGATAGATCCAGGCGGCAATATTAATTAAAGCACAAGCAGGAGCTAATTCGGTTACTGACAATGCATTTTGAGAGGGTGGCGCTAAGTAGATTGTAACAGCAAGCAAATCCTGTGTGGTGCAGCGAAAGTGTGAGCTAGGACAAGCAGTGTGTAGGCCTGTCAAACCAAGATTCTTCGGGTTTATAATTTATATTTGCGCAAGGGGTAAACACTTCCTCCCTGCAAAATCAGAAAGCAGGAATCAAAAACCAATGCAAGTGACTCACTGAAATTGCAAAATATCAATACATTGAAAGCAATCCCCGAGTAACAGGGTTTAAATGGCCAAGTAACATCAACCATTCACCAGAGGGCAGTACTTGGGAGAATGCACAGTTTACACAAGCGTATCAATCTCTTTGGGAGAATCAAAACAAGCAAGGGAAGTTCAAGTATGCTCTGTAGTCATGGGGAGGGAGCAAAAACAGATGAGAATTGAAAATTTGTAGGAGGGTAAATCCAAGGGATTGGCAGTTGGTAACGTGAACGGGAAGTTATCCACATTGCAACATATTTTTACAACCATGTAGTTGATTTCTAGACAAGGCTAGAGGTATTTTTACTGCAACCTCTGGGAAGGAAAACTCTGCTGTGCATTAAGTGGGAATAGTAGTATGCTCAAAGTAGACAAGATACAAGAATGTGTTTTTAAGGTTATTTCCAATATTAAACTCTCTCTCTCTCTCTCTCTCTCTCTCTCTCTCTCTCTCTCTCTCTCTCTCACACACACACACACACACACACACACACACACACACCACCATCACCACCACCTACAAAAGATGTATTTTTCGGAGAACAGCTTATAGGAAAAGGATAACCCACCAGCAGAAATAATTTTAGATGACTGCCATCTCTCCTATCCAAGCATTCTAGAATGATGCTACATTTAGGGCTTTTAAAGGAACAAAAGTAGGACTATCATCTGCTTTCAAACACATGTAGTTGCTGCCTGTGATTTTAAGCTATTTTTCTGAAGAGCATGTTTCAGGATAACTGTTTTAATTAAGCTGCAAGTTTAACAAGTATCTGGTCTTTTGTAGACTTCATGAAGCAAAGGGTTACACTGATGGGATATATTGCAATAGAATTCCTCCACACGAGGATGCTGCACCAGTTTGACAGAAGCTCCAGTCAAAAAGTGGTCAAAAAGGAAAGGCTACAGTAACAACTGTGTGGCCTCTTTTTTTATGTGTAGTTGCAGATATCATCTTGATTTCTATGTGTGAGAGAGGGAAGGAGGCAGAAATAAAGCAGTCTAAAGCAGATAGAAAAAAAATATTGTTCTCCAGCTGCAGGGCTCACAAGGAGTAGTAATTGGAGGAGCAGTAGAAAGTCATATAGTGGAAGTGAGAAGAGGGAATAGTAAGTAATGAGTTCTAGCCTTTAAGTTTGTGCATGTTGCCTAGGAATCTATGTGGTTCTCTTGGGGTTTGAGTCTATCTGTCTCTCTTGAGCTGTGGAGCCCATTGACTTGGGTATATGTAAAAAAAAAAAATTGTGACACTCAGCATGGCTTATAATTGGACTCTGGCTAGGCAGATGTGGATGTTGTGGTGCATAAGCGCACCAGCATGCCTACCGTCCCTGTCCTACTGTCTCCATTTATTCGTACCCATTTACTATGTTCCTATTTATGTTTATACTTATACCTGTTATCATGTGCATGTTAGACAAACTAAATAAATGAAATGAAAAATTATCAAGGCATGTCTAAGCAAAATTATCTGAGAAGACTTTGGACCAGTTGATCTTGAGGAAGTGGACAGGATCCTTACTACTGTGAACTTGGGTGCATACCAGGGATGGGTTGCTACCGGTTCTACCCGGATCGGCGAACCGGTAGCGGTGGCGGCAGGAGGCTCCGACCACCCGTGCCAGATGCTTCTGCGCATGCACGGATGCATTGCGCACACGCACAAGTGCATGCGCACGAGCGAACTGGTAGTGACAGGTTTTGCAACCCACTACCTGTGCATACATTTCTAAGTTTGACCATTTTTGGAGAGTGCAGATTCAATGCTGCCATTGAAATACATGGAACCATTCCCATAATTTCTTTGATACCTTCATTTTTTTTCCTGAAAAGATGATTGTTTGTTTGGCAAAACCTGAATAAAATGTGGAAGAAGCAGACAAAATATGCATCTACTTATTATTTGTAATTGAAGCTCTACTTTCCAAGCTCTTACTTTATGTATGCAAAAGCAATATTGCAAAGCAGGCAAACTCGCCCTTTAAAAGTTTACACTCAGTTGGAAACAAAATAATAGTGTTAGGAACAAGATATCCTGTGATATTTTTTTTTCCAAATGGATCTGAGGACAATAGGCCATCTTCAAAGATTTTTTTTAATGCCTTGGTGGCCATCCAAGCAAATAGCTACTGAGCTAGACAAGATGCAGCTCCCCTTGAATAAAATGAAAATCTCCCTGTTTAATTGAATGCTCAACACACTGAAATGAGTGCTGGAAGCAAGCCTGTGCTTGCTCTAGTTTGAAGCCATGTGAAGGAGAGACTATTGACTGGCGACACACAAATACAGCCAACAACAAAAGTAAGCAATGACGGCTGAGGGTTTCTAGTAATGGGTATGAGAGCCTGTCAGAAGCCATGCAAATGAAATCTATGCAGGAGTGCAAAGAGAGAGAAATAATTTTACACCAGCAACCTGTAATAATGTCGCTGATTATTAGTATTACACCTGCATAGCCTTGAACTAGGGAGCCTGAAATTCTGGGACATGACTAATATAAAGTCAGAACAGTTGTAAATATCTTGTCTACCTATGACTGGGGGTGCTTTTATTCAGACCAACACTTGTCCTCTATGAGTAAGAAATTCACACACCAACCTGTAAGGTGCATATTGCCTTTGACTGACTCCCACTGAAAGTTCAGTCATTGAAAGCTGTCTCAATTTACTCTGTTTGGAAAGGAAATCAACTTTCAACCTAATTTCAGACAAGTTCATGTGTGCTGGGAATAGATCGGACTCTCTGATAAATGCTGTCAGCTCATTTGAAGGATGATTTTCCCAAATAAAAGATGTTGGCATTTTTGTAATAACAATATTGGATTTGTCCTGTATCTTGGAAAGGGTATGGAATAGCATAGCATAGCATAGCATAGCATAGCATAGCATAGCATAGCATAGAATAGTGTGATTGGACACAAGGAATTTGTTTTGGTGCATATGCTCTCTGTGTACATAAAAGAAAATATACATTCGTCAAGAATCATAAGGTACAACACTTAATGATAGTCATAGGGAAACAGTCAATATAAATCTTAAGGATACCAGCAACAAGGTTACAGTCATACATTCATAAGTGGGAGGAGATGAGTGATAGGAACAATCTAAATCATGAAATGCTGCTAGAAGTACAATTATAGCATTATTAGTACAGGTAGTCCTCAATTTACAACAGTTATTTTAATAACCATTCAAAATTACAATGGCACTGAAAAATGTGACTTATGACCATTCACACTTATGACTGTTGTGGCATCCTTGTGGTCACATGTTCCAAATTCAGCTACTTGGCATCTGATTCATATGTATGAGTGTTGCTGTGTCCCAAGGTCATGTGATCACCTTTTGAGATCTTCTGACAAGCAAAGTCGATGGGGAAGCCAGATCCACTTAACAACCATGTTACTAATGTAACCACTGCAGTGATTCACTTAACAACGGTGGCAAGAAAGGTCATAAAATGGGTCAAAATTCACTTAACAAACATCTCAATTAACAACAAAAATTTGGGGCTCAGTTGTGGTCATAAGTCAAAGATTACCTGTATATGCTCAGCCAATTGTTTTAAGAACAGACTACATATTATGCCAGTTGTATAAAACATAACTTATCCCCTTGGAAACTTTTAGAGGAGAGTAAGTATATATGACTAGGGACACATGGCTCAGTGGCTAAAACGCTGAGCTTGTCAATCGAAAGGTTGGCAGTTCAGCGGTTTGAATCCCTAGTGCCGCGTAATGGAGTGAGCTCCCATTACTTGTCCCAGCTTCTGCCAACCTAGCAGTTTGAAAGCATGTAAAAAATGCAAGTAGAAAAATAGGGACCACCTTTGGTGGGAAGGCAATAGCGTTCCATGCGCCTTTGGCGTTTAGTCATGCCGGCCACATGACCACGAGACGTCTTCGGACAGTGCTGGCTCTTTGGCTTTGAAACGGAGATGAGCACCGCCCCCTAGAGTCGGGAACAACTAGCACAGATGTGCGAGGGGACCTTTACCTTTACCTTTAAGTATATATGAACTCAATCTGGATGGGGATTACTATTATGGACAGAGACTTAAATCTTCCCCAATAATCCCTTTATTTAAATTCATGAATTAAATGCATGAAATACAAATGATTTTAAAAATTAAAAAAAATGTGTAGAGTATAAGAAAGTGTTGATGGTAACCTTAAATCTTAATTTCCTACTGTCAATGTTCCCAATCCTACTAAAGAGATCCACTGATGGTTTCATAAAAGAAACCCCAAAAGGCTTGCAGTTGAGTTGCATGTTACATAGTTAACCTAATATAGTTTAAACATATTTGTATTGTGGATAAAAATGAGAAATCATGTCTCAGCTATTCCGTTTGAAGAGTCAATGTGTAAGAAAGAGCAATCGAGTGATGCCTAGGTTCTCTGCACTTGAATGTGTGTTTGTTTTTTTTTATCATTTTAGAAAGGGTGTCTCTTTTCCTGGATGCTTTGGGAATTTTATTTCTATTTTTGTAAAGATTTTGCTGCATGTTGCACAGATGTGCAATGGGTCATCTTATAATTTTAATAAAATAAATCCCTCCCTGGACCAGTAAGATGATGATATTTTTTAATCCTGCCTTTTTATGTATAATTCAAAGTGGCAAACACTTAACATGAGGTAAATACCTCATTTATTATGAGGTATGTTAGGCAAATACCTAACATGAGGTATTCCTGCCTCATCTAATTGTCACTGAAACTCTCTGGGTTGCCCCAATACAACATTAAAATATAATATTCAAAGATTTCTATCCATTTCAATATAATTCACTCTACAGTAACATTGTTATTCACAGAAGATCAAAACTGGGGACTGGATTGTTCTCTCCACAGTCTCCCAAGTGTTATACCTATTTTTTTCATTTTTTAAAAAAAAAACTTTGTTATAACTATGTAGTTTTTCTTTTGCAAAAATAATACTTTTTAAAAGGAAGGGTAAATTAGATCTATTCCCTTAAAATTATTACTGCAACAAAATTCCCTAATATCCCAAAGTGCTGGCTGAATAGCCTTGACAACTTCAGCAGAACCTCAGGATGGTGATTTCATTTCCAGAAGTTTCCAAAACCACAAAGGTGGAGCTCGCATCTCCAGATTAAACTGCTGTACACAGCAATTACTATTTTGCTGGAAATAGAATAACTGTGTTATCCAGTAGCTAATAGAATCTGACCTGTGATCAATTCAGTCTGTAGCTCATTGTAGGAGACTGTTTGGGTTTTAATTTTGCTATGCATTAATCTTAAATACATTTTCTTGGCAATAAATATATACAAAACTACCTTTTACCCATTTCATTAAAAAATTATTTACTGGTTGCTAGACACAAATTTCCAAAATCTCACTAGCTACAATAGATTTTGGCCCCCTCTTTTTAAAATATTATTAAAATATTATTAAAATTGAGCCGACCCTTGAAAAGCATATTCTGTTCCTGTTCTAATCCACTCTAGAAAGATAGTCTTGCTTTCTTGTAATGCAGTACATAAATAAAATGGAGTAAACATGCTAATATCAAAAAGAAGCGAAAACTGCACTTATATTAAATCAAATGTCTGCTATAACTCGGAACAGTAAGGAGGCTGCAGTAGGACTAAAGTTATAGCCAAGAAAATCTAAATGAAAACATACATTAACAAGAAGCATTGAATATTTTCTATTGTGGGCGGGTGGGTGGGGGGTTATTGAGAGGAGCATATATAGGCAGATGTATTCAAAAATATTAATAGAAAATCTAGCTAGTTAAAAAAGACAGTTGGGTCATATGAACTACCAATGATTATTCTGGTTTCATATGACAGATTTTTTATAATGTTACACACACACACACAAATACACAGATACATTCTGCCTATGTTCCACCAGTTAATAAAAGTTAAACGTACATTAAATACAATGTAAACATATTCTGAATAAACCACATATGCAGTCATCACTTCCAAGAATACTCACGTCACTCTGAATGAAACTTTCTAATAACTGTCATATTTTGCATTTCAGAAGCATGAAAGATAATTAAAAGGAGGCTACATTACAGGAATAAAACTTTATTCCTCAGTTATGGCACCATCAAGAGAACCTATGCTACTGAGGTTAGTAACAGAGAGATGACCTAATACTAATATTAAAAACCAAAATAGGCCACCCAGTTTGTTTAAATTGAGGTCTGCCTAGGAAAGAAGGTAGTATTTTATTTACTTGAACCTGTTTCCTTCCAGATGACTTTCTACTTGTTCAGTCTACTTCCTGATTTGGAATTTAGCTAAGGAGAAAATTACTTAGAAGACTAATTCTCTTCATCTCTCTTTCCCACTGGGTATTTTTGCTGTTACAAAGTGTAAAAACTACATATGTTTTAGGCAAAACCTGATTTTTTAAAAAAATGGGTATATTGCTGCCACATCAGATCTTGTCCTAAACTATTTTTTTTAAGTAAGGTAATTTTTTTAAATGTTTAGAAGCAGAATGCGGCTTCAAGATGTAAACTTAGATTAAGATAAATTAATAGCCAGATGAATCTTTCAAACAATTAACATCATCAATATTTGGCAATAAATATTTGAATTTTTGGTTTGATTTTAATTGCAATGTTTTATCATGTTTTACAGTTTGTATTTTACATGTTTCACTTGCCACCTTCTCAGGAGTTATAGGCTTCCTGTTTATATAAAATTATATGTTTTATAATTGAAAATAAAATGGCAAATGGCAGTAATCTAGGTCCAATGTGAAAGAAGTGATAATTTGGTGCCTAATCATTTAATAACCAGATTGCTTTCTCTCTCTCTCTCTCTTTTTTTTTTTATTTCCAAAAGGGGGGGAAAAGGTACAGTTAGGTCAATTCCTACCTTTGAAGGTTGGGAAAACAATATGAAATAACGCTCAGTTCTAAAGTAGTTGTCAAACACTCAAAATAACTGTAGAAATGTTACCCTGCTGAGCAAAAATGACAAGTCAGCTTTAGTTAGTGAGCTGAAACACAATGAATTCATGGTACTTATGTTGGCACAGTGGAAATGTATCTTCTGAAATAATAATACTAATTTAATTTAACCCTGGATGACCACAGAGAATATTTTTCATATGCATATGAATATTTACATAGATGGCATTTTCTTTTTGTGCTGTAGGTTCATCATAGTTTGTTTGAAACTGTGAACGAAAGTCTGTTTCAGAGTACTTTTATGTTCTGAGTATATTTTTAAAAACTACCCCAATAAGATTTATAAATTCTCTTTTTCTCCTCAGCAGTTAAAGCTTTCCCAAGACATCTAATTCCTGAAGCTGGAATTTTGTTTCCTTGGCATTTCATGTCCTTGGATTCTCTGTTGCTCTGGAAAATCCTTTCTAATCCATACTGCCTGTTAAAATTCTGGCATTTCTGTGTAGAAAAAAAATACTTTCAAATTCATTTCAAAGTTCTATGATACTCTGCAAATTCAAGCTGAAAACAGAGAAACGTATTGTTTAATATAACATTGCTTGGCATTTTATTTTTTCTGATCTGGCACAGAAAACATCCATTTGGGAAAGGGAACTGCAATTGCAGCAAAGACATAGTTCCTTCCATTCAGAGATTAGAGAAAAATTAGACACACATATCCCCAACCTTAATCTATGAAGGAAGAAAACTAATTGTGACTACTCTTCTTCTTATGAAACCTCCAAAGACTCTAATGATGGATTTAAAACATAGGAATAAAACCAAAATATGAAAGAACGATAAATCAGAGCTGTATGCAATACATTTCCTTTCAGAATATTTTAAAATGAAAAACTGGACCAGAACTGGTCAAAATATTTGGCACACTCTTCTTATGTGTACATGTAGACAATTTTAATCTCCTGCCGTTGTATGGCTTAATTTTTTTTTTAATTAGCTTACATATGTGGTGATCTGTATTGATCTAACAATAATCTGTTGCTAAATCTGGAGTTCAGAATTTCTGAATCATTCTAATGACACAAAAAATGCTATAGATGTGTCACTGCTTACAGTGGAGGATAGCCTTGGTTATGTATGGTTCCAGACTCCGTTTCTTTGCACTGCGCTTCTCTAAGTATTACACAACAAGAAGTGTGGTTTATCAGCTAAGGGTTTTAATTTCTCTGATTAAAATTATCTTGATCGGCACTATGGTACAAAGCTTGCATGCACACTTTGGTTTCATTGGAATGGTAGAACTATTATTTTAATAAAACTTCTTTCATTTTAATTATATTTATCCCAACTACTTTTGCTTTTATTTTCCCTTTATTTTTAGGTGTACAGTTTGGTACTATAAAGCTACAATAATGCAATGTAGTAAAAAGAAATATTTTTACCTGTATCGTATTAGAAATGTTTCATTTCAAATCTTCTTTTAAAGGAGAGCATAGCAACATAAATCTGAAGCATATTACAACTTCAAGGCCTTATTTTTAATATCCGTATTACAGACATGAAAAAGAACACAATTAGGCTCCAGGAAAGCGACGTGGAATGGATAGCTAGACAACCAACTTACAGTATATACATTCTAAACAATTTTGCCACAGTTAAAAGGTATTTATATTCTGATGCAGATAAAATTGAACATGTCAACACTAATGCATTTTTCTAGGAGAATCACTACTTTCACAATAATTTCCATGGAAAATTTGTGTGCACATGCTGTAATAGACACATTTATAACATCAAAAGGGTTCAATTTTCTTTTCAATCATACCTCTGTATGAATAGCTTTTCCTATTGAATTTAACAATAAGGAACATTACCAGAGTCTAAAGGATGGGATACTTCTGCTTGCTCTTATGAAAGTATGTCAGACAATATATAATATATCCTACAATAGATCTGGGTTAACAGCTCTTTTACATAGGTTTTCTTTCTAATACACTTGTGTCAGCAGAATGCCATTTTTATTTAAATTTGCCTGTGAGATCAGCTACATTTCAATCTCTGGTTAACTCGCAATGTTATTAAAAGAGTATTCAAATGTTATTTAAAAGGAGACCCAGGGCATCTGTATCAAGAAATTAACATAAAATGTTTCTCGGAGGTATAGATTTCAGCTCAAAATTAGCAGCCGTTTGTTCTGCTCTTCAGTCACTTGAGGAAAAAGATTTTATAAATAGTGATTTTAAAATGTTACTACAGTGATTTAAACTGGGCATTTTTTGCATATTAAGTGGAGTGCTCCAAAAGGTGTGTTATTTTGTCGCAGTCAGTAGAAATAAAGCTCTCTTCTTCTGGCCGATGGTACATTTAATAAGTAATACTGCATTCTTTAATTACTTGTCATTTCAAAGCAATCGAGTATAAATCACACACATTTACCAATTGGGAACTATTCTTACTCCACCACTTTGACAGAGTTGTAGCAGAAAAATTAAAAAGACAACAATGTCCAGGTTTATTAGACAACCGGGTTTAATATTTGGAGTAACAAATATATCTGTAAAATAAATCCAGTACAGGCTGAATTTATTCCACTTACATCTTGGTCAGCCATACGCTTGTGGAAAGATGGATGGCAAATAAATTAAATTAAAAAAAATATTCTTGTGGATTATGAAATGATTATGAGATGATTATTTTCTCCAAAGAAAAGAACACCAAGGAGAAAAGAACAACAATAGAAAAGAATCTCCAAGGATTTTCTCCAAGGAAAATCCATGTTATCAGCCTAGCTTGATATATAGCAACGTCCTTTCAATTATATCAGGGAACAAGTAAGGTGTGCAAGTTTTTTACTTTTAAAATGTTTTTTACATTTTACTTCCTGATCAGGATTACTTTGTATTTCCGCAATATTCACTGCATCTTATTTAAAATCCAAATATGATACTGGTCTCTGACTGGCCTATAATTCAAGGGTGCACACACCACATAAAAAACAGGCAGGGCTTCATTTGTACGTTGTGACCGCCATCTTGAATTTTTTGACCATGCCCTATGAACACTGCTGCTATATGGGCAGTTTACAACATTAAAACTAAAATTTAAGACATTTGTCTGTTCTTTAATCATGGTTGGTTGTTTTAAAAAAAAGGAAAGTCAGGGGCAAAAAGGCCCTAGTCATCTCATCTACAGGCCTGCAGTGGCAAATGCTTTCCATGAAGGCAATGGTTAAGGCAATGATGGTTCCATACAATCCCGGATTCCACTGGGAATCCATAGTTTTAAACCTTTAACATTGATTAAAATAGAGGTATAAAACTGGTTTCAAATAAAACATGCATGTATGTTATACAAGGTGCAGGTAATTCTTGACTTACGACTACAACTGGGACTGGAATTTCCATCGCTAAATTGTTAAATGAACCGCAACTAATTTCGTAACCTTTTTTTGCTCCAGTCATTAAGTGAATTGGATTAAGTGGATCCGGCTTCCCCCATTGAATTTGCTTGTGACAGTCACAAACTGTTCCTGGGACACTGCAACTATCATAAATATATGCCAGCTTCCAAGCATCTGTAACTTGAAATAGTCACTAAATGAATAGCTGTAAATTGAGGTTTACCTGTATGGATCATCTTCTTTATATCTACATTTTAATCTCTTTATTTTTTTTTCCCCCAGATTTGCCACAGGTATCTTCTCACAGTGCTTCTCAACTTTCCGGGGAATTTGGGGACCTGAAGTCCACACATTATTTGAAAAACACTGTATTAGATCACAGTACTATAAGTTTCCATTATTACACATTTCCAATCAACCTTCCCAATACCGAGGTGTATATACATTAAATACACATTAAAAGCTCTCTTTTGCAAAGCTCTCTTTTTCCTATTTCAGTATCTTTTCAATAAACGTTTATCAATATAATCTAAGGATCTTATTGTAAGAAATATTTCAGAAAAACACAAGCATTTACCAAAGGGGAGCTTGGTGTGAATGACCCTTGATTGTTTACCTTCAATTCAGGAATGATCGCCTACTTGCCTTTTATCTTCTCAGCCAGCTCAAGGACTTCATCCTGTCCTCAGAAAACACTAGTAAAATACAGAATATTATGTTCAACAGTACTGGATGATTTTGGTACACTTTTAACCAGCCCTGTACTAGCCAAAAAGAAGGGTGGGTTTTTCTTTTCAGTAAATAATACATTTCTCTCATCTGTAGACAGCTGACATTAAACAATTTACTTATTACATATTATTCTTTCAGTGTTGGAAAATGAAAAATGGAAATACAAAACAAAAGTGTTCCAGGTGATATCCTACCCATCTCTCTACCTTGCCTTATTGTCAGATTGATGGTCTTTGTTCACACTGTCATCCTCTGCAAAGGTAGTTCTGCCATTTTCTCTCTTCTGTCAATTCCTCTTTCCTCATTTTTATTATATTTCATGCTTTGCCTCCTTGCTACTCAGTGAAGAAGCTTCATAAAAGCAAGAATGAACTCAAAGACAGTCATGAGGGGTCCAATTCTGAAACTTTGAAACCAGGGAGAATTCATTCAAAATGGGGAGGGGAACTAGAAACTACAGTGAATTCTCCGGAAGCTAAAATAAATTGAGTCTATAAAATCTACTCTGTATTCTACTGCCTTTGTGTAGCAAACACAAAGGCCTTCCATTAGCTCCAGTTACTTTCATTTGTTGAATATGTGGAAGAGCTACAAGCTCCCTCTGACGATGGCATTCAGTACTTTGATGGCAGGATGTTAGCATGAAAAGCTACTATACCAGGAGTGGATTGTGTTTGTGGCATTAATTGTCTACATTTATAGAGGAAGCTTCACATCGCATTGGCAGTCCAAGTGCTTAAGAGCATTCTACTAGATGAGAATAGTAATTATCTCCACATAGAGGAGAAACTGAAAGAGTAGCCTTTCACTAGAGGGAACCAAAGGTTCTCCCACCTGATGCCCTCCAAGTGTGTTGAGACTACAATTTCCAGAGTTCCCAATCAGCAGGGTTTTGACCTGAGGTAGAGGAAGTCCAATTTAAGTAAGCCAATGCCTTATATTCCAAATTGCAATAATTGGTAGGCCTTATACCACTTTTTAAAAAATCAAGAATTCACCAAAAGTTCCTTCATGGATGTTCCTGGATATCTTGAGGCAACTTGTTATGAATTCTTGAATTCAGCTTCACCTTTTGGTGTGACTGCTTCAGAACTTGCTCCCCTCTGTCTCAGTCATGGGCTCATGATAAATAAGCACAAATGGGTATGATATGTTCAAAGCAGCTGTTATTCACAGAAGACAGACTCTTCTGGACTTCGAGGTTCTACAAGCTCTATTAGCTCTGATGAGAAGCTTATTCTGTGGGAATATCTTTCATTTCTATACCCCATTTAAGTTAAAAGCTGTTACCACATTTCAAAAGCTACCGGACTTTCTTGTTTGGTTTGTTTTTTAAATGTTTTCCTTCTCATTCAAGAAGCTTCTTCAGTTCAAACTGAACTTTCAAGGAAAAAAAACCAAGAAAGTTTAGTTGCCTTTTGGAAACCAGCTTTGGGACAACCCTGACCTTGATGATTGAAAATCTCCACATGCTAAATCAGAATATTCCCAATATAATTGCGTATTCCATGAAAAACTACTTTGTCTCATCTGTCCTTCATCTACTGCCAACCATTCTTGTTAGGATATGGTGTAAGTCTAACAAGTTGTTCAGGCAATATATGTGTTCTATCACTTTAAATGTATTCCGTAACTTTATGTAATGCTGTAACAGATGTAATGCTGAGTAATTGTACTGCTGAGTCATTGTAATGTCTAATGACTGCTGACTGAATGCTGACTGTAATTATCATAATTGTACTGCTGAGTCATTGCACTGCTGACTTCACTTATCTTAAGTGGATAATTACTAGTGTAAACTGTATATAAGAAGGAAGCCGAGCTATAGTCATTGTTGGACCTGCTCTCATCATTGCTTGACTTATTGCTTGACTTGCTGGTTGAAACCGTTACTGTCTTGTGTGAAGACGTGGATGGATATGCTACCATCGTGATTTGTTACCAGCGTTGAATTGCTGTTTATTACCTACTGTTGTTTGTCTGGTAAGAAGATATCTGTAACTTCGGACTGATTTGAATGGCTAAAGACTTGGATTGATTAAAAAGACTATGCAATTGTTTTTCACTACAAAGTAAAAGCTTTGTTAAACCAGTTTGTATGTATTGTATTCATTGCTCTCAGTACCGTTTCTCTGTGCACTTACTCTGCTGGTTGGTAACACCACAATATCCTTAACAATTCTCATTTAGAATCCATCTACCCCATGGATGTCAAACTCATGACGTCACGTTACCATCATGTGATGTTTCACGATGTTTTTTCCCTTCACAGAGCTGGGATTAGGAGTGGCCTGAATATGACACATCCGACCCACAGGCCACCAATTTGACACCCCTGATCTACCCCAACAGAAAATGGGAAAGAGAAGCAACAAATTCATGTGTGTAAGTTTCTGGTGTTTATCTTGGAATTAATGGCATTACTTGCAGGCCCTGCATTCAGCTGACACCCTAGCAGTTTTGTACACCTCAATAGTAATAGACAGAACTAAACACAGTTTACTTCATTAGCTTGGTTCAGCAACTGTAAAAAGGGTATATTTCAACTGCCAGAATACCTCAGCCAGAATGTTGGCTAGGAATTCTGGGAATTGAAGTCCACACATATTAAAGTTGTTAAAATTGAGAAACACTAGCTTAGACTAATAAGTAGTCTTACCTGTGTGTGTCCATATTCAGAAGAGCTAGAATTCAGGCAAGGAATTCAACATTAGGTTTTCTTTTCCCAGCAGAAAAAAGAAAGAAGCCAAGGACAGCAAATGGAAACCAAAGTGATCCTTAGGGGCTATTTGCCTTTCATCAGATTTCAGATTTTGCCAGGTAGCAGCATGCTCAAGTAAACAAATGCCTTGAAAAAGTAAGTGATGGTAAGAAGGAGAAACCACTAGAAGCAACAAGAAAATTAATAGCTAAAGCCTGTCTCAGGAGCTTCTATCTCACAGTCTCTGTAGGTCACTCCTTCATCGAACTGGCTACGTTTAGACTGAAATAGTCCCCTCTTGTAATGCTGTCCTGGTTTTCTTGATTCACCAGCAATGTATGAAAGCCAAAAAATGATTCTACCATGCTGAGAACACATCATTTTTTAAAAAAAGAAGGTTCTTTTCCAAATAATACTATGTTTAGAAAATTTTGTCTTGCAAGATTTCTGTGATATAGGTGCCAAGGCTGAAGAAAAGAAGAGGAAAATAATACAAAATGAAATTCAATGGTGAAAAAAGTAAGGTTCTACATTTAGGCAAGAAAAACAAAATGCACAGGTACCGTATATGTAGTATTGTTCAATAGTAGTAACTGTGAGAGGGATCTTAGAGTCCTAGTGGACAACCATTTAAATATGAACCAGCAGTGTGCAGCAGCTGCCAAAAAAGCCAACACAGTTCTAGGCTGCATAAACAGAGGGATAGAATCAACATCACGTGAAGTGTTAATACCACTTTATAATGCCTTGGTAATGCCACACTTGGAATACTGCATTCAGTTTTGGTCGTCAAAATGTAAAAAAAGTTGTTGAGACTCTAGAAAGAGAGCAGAGAAGAGCAACAAAGATGATTAGGGGACTGGACGGTAAAACATATAAAGAACAGTTGCAGGAACTGGGTGTGTCTAATTTAATGAAAAGAAGAACTAGGGGAGATACGTTAGTAGTGTTCCAATATCTCAGCGGCTGCCACAAAGAAGAGGGAGTCAAACTATTCTCCAAAGCACCTGAGGGTAGAACAAGAAGCAATGGGTGGAAACTAATCAAGGAGAGAAGCAACCTAGAACTAACGGGAAATTTTCTGACAGTTAGAACAATTAATCAGTGGAACAACTTGCCTCCAGAAGTTGTGAATGCTCCAATACTGGATATTTTTAAGAAGATGTTGGATAACCATTTGTCTGAAGTGGTGTAGGGTTTCCTGCCTAAGCAGGTGGTTGGACTAGAAGACCTCCAAGGTCCCTTCCAATTCTTTTATTCTATTCTGTTCTGTTCTATTCTATTCTATTCTATTCTATTCTATTCTATTCTATTCTATTCTATTCTATTCTATTCTATTCTATTCAGATTAGAGTTAAAAGAATATTTGCATTGGAAAGACATGCAAATCACCCAGCCAGCTCCAAATCAGAGGAAGCATTTAGCTAGATACTGTAAGACTAGGTTTGCCTATAATGTGAATAGTCTTGAATTATGGACGTTTTGGTATAAACATGTAGTTGAAAGCTGGCTGTTGAATAAGAGAAGAGTAGTATATGATGGATGTAACATATACATGAAAATAAATGGAACGTCCCATTGGCTGGTGAATGTATTTATGGATAACGGTATAAAGAATGCTTGTGCAGATAGAGGTGTTGTTGTCAGAGATGCCGAATATGATGTATTATTGCCTGAGAACCCAAATGATTTGCAGTGACTGTTAGATAGATTGTATAATGCATCAAGCAATTGAATTTTAAAATTGATTACAAAAGAGTCAAAGGTGTTGAAATAAAAGCCATTGACAGAAACGGACCATGAAAAGCATATGATGAGCATGCAGCACTTCTAAAGGTGGTAAAAATTTCCTTTGTCTGTGATATTTCATCAGCTGTAATTTATGGCAGGT